ATACGATTTCCGTCTCCAGTTTTGGACGACAGAAGAGGCAGATTTGTGTAAGTGGTCCCGTACGGGTGATGGGTTTGTAATAAATTCCAAGTGAATATGCATTCCTGTGCTATAGAATTTACCTTAAAACCCATCGAACGCTAAATCTTAAGCATAAATCGACACCAAAATCTACGAAAGCTCTAAATACGGTACGAAGTGGATGCATTTATAACCGAACGTCTTCCAGGAGAGAAAATGGGGAGTCATCTTGAATGCCATTTTGATTATATGGGCATGTCCGTCATATATTTGGTATATTTCCTTGTGGGGCCGCCTGGGGAACGTGTGAAGCGCGCCCCTCAGGCTCACGGGCGCCTGATTTTAGGGAAGAAGACGGGCGGGGCATGTCAGGGAACAAATCAGATCGCAATATTTCTGTAATTTAATTGACCCAATTATGAAAAAACTCGCGGCATAAGGTGGGATTTGAACCCGCATAGGAGGGAGGCCTTTTACGCAAGCCAACGCTCTACCCACTTGGCTACGATGTCCTTCACACCGTGAGTTTAATCACACTTGGATCGATATTACCCGCCCAAATATTGCCGTTCACAACCCACCAATACGAGACAGCAAGTTGACTGCCCAAGCAGTATTTCTTAAGCAATAATCTAGGATCCACCAGAATGAATACTAGGCTGACTTAATTATTAAGATGGTTTGGCAGATTTGGTAAATTTAATTGACCTAATTGTGAAAAAACTCGCGGCATTCGGCGGGATTCGAACCCGCATAGAGGACATGTTGGGTCGCGTACTTAAACCTTGGGAGAAGACACTGAAATAGGCTTTAATAGCATCGCCAAACCCCCGCCCGATCAACGGCAAACGTGTGTATAGAGAGAGTGTGCCGTAACCTCGGGCGAAGTCACTGAGGTATATTTTCTAGGGGACCACCAAAACCAACTAGCAAAAGGTTAGCGAAGTACGAAAGAGGAAGGATTGTGGAAATCACCATACTCCAAATTTGTAAGTAAGCTGTTATTCCCGTGGTTAATATAAAAGGCTTATTTCGCTTAGTATACTCACTTAGGCGGTTATGGTATGCGGTGCCCTTCGGAGGACCGCTCTGCTGTTCAATGTCGTCATCAAATCCCTGCTGGATCGACTGATGGCGTGTAGAAAACTGGAACATTATGGGTAATTAAACCTACTTAAAAATTTAAGGAGGTCGCTATAGTGCATTAGCACCTTTCGGAGACCCTACTTGGAAAGCCTACCAATATATTTTTATCTTACCACTTTGTTTTAACTATTTAGAGAATATGCGAATGCGGTCTCAGCAACTGAGTATTCCCATCTAGGTGCTGTCTCTTGGTTACGCTCTATTACGATTGACACGCTGCATACACCGTTAAGTTGTATGCAAGCGAAGCATATGGGACACAGTTGTCTCTCTGCATGTAGTAAGGACAGGAAAATGCCGTAGCACTGGACAGATTTGCGCAAAATATGAACTGATATTCAGATAATTAGAAAATCGTTTTATTCATTTTTAATGAAAAATTACTAAATCCGCCAGAGAAAACACGCATGTATTGTAGAATTCGAAGAATAAAAACAGATAAATAATTGTCTATATTCTGGGTTTCCTTTATTTTCTCGTTTCCTTATGCTCTTCGAATGGATGTCGGTTGTGTGAGGTGAGTAGGTCTCCAGCCTTGTTTGAGGTCGTCCACAAGCGCAAAGGGTGCTTCGTATGCAGCATCTCCGCCCTTGAGCTATAGGGAGAAAAATCAGTCTTCTATTATCTATGGCTCGAGCTAATTATTTTGTTGAGCAACTTAAGTATACATATAGGGACAAACTATGCCAAAGGCATCTACACGTGCACCAAAAACACAGAGTATGAAGACCTCACCTTGAGTTTGTAATTGCTTTCGAAATCCTTTGTTGTTATAGAAGGCAGATCAGCCTTGACTGGCGCATTTTCCTGCTCGAACACATTTGAGAGGTTGTCATTCGGGAGTTTCGAAGTGTTAGTTGGATCCTCGTTGTAATTGTTTATGACAGAAGAGGATGACTTCGAACTCTTGGATGGTTTCAGGTCTGGTTTGAGTGTCGTTGTGTCGTTGATACCTACTGGTGGACACCTCACATGTTGCACAACACTGGCTTCGACATCATCGTTCTTCTTCTGATCGCTGTCTTTCTTCTGTCCGAGGCCATAATCAATACCAGTGCCCTTCTTGACGTACTTCTTAGCAATCTGAGGTTTGGTAAAATAAAGCCAGCGTTCACACAAAGATTTCTCGATCATTTTAAGCTCAACCACCGAAATAACGAACTTGGGTCCCGCTTATTATAGCGAACCCAATTTAACTATTTACACATAATGCCGAACTGCTTTGGACATTGTCAGCTGAATATTAGCACCTTCGTCCTCAAGTACAAGAGGCATATTTCCTCCTTTAGACTTTTAAGCTATAGTTTAAAGATAACACAAATTTTAACTGTACATACGTGAAATGGATTTCCACGAAGATACCTGCATAGGACCCATGAAGGTTTTTATAGAAAACTGTGGATTTATTTCTTTAAATCGGTCTAGCTTTGGGCATTTATCAGAAATTTCAATGTCAGGCAGCCAAATTATTCATTAGATGCATTTACTGCGTACTTTGTCATTCGATGTACGCTTCATCTGCAGTCAGAGGCGAGCCGAGGCTCTTGACAGTAAACTACACTCTGTATCTTCAAACAGTCTTGCAATAAAGCTTGACCACACCTTAATTATTATCCGGAGGTGATATAATAGCGACCTCATGGAGAACGTCGGGGGACGCACTGAGGAACCGAACTCCTCGTTGTTGTATCATGTAGCAGCAAAAACATTTGCGAAAGGCGTTTCTGGGCATTTAGGTGGTATCTTTGTCGGAGGTGCCGTATATAATCTTGAGGGTTTTTATAGAAGACTGTGGACTAGTTTCTTTAAATCATTCTAGTTTTGGGGGACTCTTGATAAATCCCAACGTAAGTAGCAAAATTATGCCAAGTTTCAGAATAAATTTGCTCTGTACTTCGGTATTTCTTATACGTTTCATGTGCAGTCTCAGGTAAGGCAAATTTTAAAGACATTTAATTTATCAGAGAAATTATTCTTATGACAATGTTTATACGTTTATATAATATTTGTATGTTATCATAATTACTAAAACTTACCGCGACTTCATTGTTGGCATCATTGAAGCCAAGACCGCCTTGTGTGTCACCAAGGCCCTTGACGTCAACAGTTACTCTATCAGTTCGAGCAGTCTTGCCATTCAGTCTGGTCACGCCTTCGGCCGAATAGCTGAACAGTTCACATGAGAAACAACATGAAATTCAGAATGGCCGAACCGAGTCATATTTTAGCAGCGTTTGCATCAGCGATGCATGTGGCCTGATTGACACAACTCTGCTCCGAACTACGCGTTTCTTCTCTGAGTTTATCTTTACGTTGAACAATACCAGTAAAAGCAAAGGGCAACTGAATGACCATTTCGGGCGCATTGGCCGTAATCACCTAGTCATACACCGCCCGCAGCTCGATCCCGCGACCTGTTGATCAAAGTCAAGGCCACTGGGCCACTACGGGCTCCTTGTCTTGCCGGTTAAGAGGAGAAATACTAACATTCCTTGATGGCCTTGTTAACTTCTTAGAAATTCGAAGTTATCGATATTCATGTGGTTTAGATAAAGGAGTACGTATCCGATTTGCCGCCAAGTAACACTTCAGCTGGCAAACATTTGACGAAGCTCGAATTCAAAAATACCCACCCAAGAGGTACAGTTTCGAAACCAGCCGCGCTCAATGTGTGTCTGTTAATAAGAAGGCACCCTTCTGACTAAGTGAGTGAGGCATGAATAAGCTGCGGGAGGTATCATCTTAATCCGATCGCATTTTCCGTAGTCACATCCTTGTTTTATTAAGTATAGTTCATAATACCCAGTTTTGCATTCGGATACCTGGTTTAATAAGGTTTTTTTTACCAAGGCAGCCATTTTATATCGGCCTGCCGACACAAGGCATATTGTTTGGAAGTGACAAGCATCCGACGAGCGTAATTTTCAAAGCGTACAGCCATACTAGGCTGGAATAAACCGACAATCATTCGACAAAAAAAATGTTGATCTAAACACTCCTTAAAAGAAAGCGCTAATATTCAGACCGTATTACGTTATGGAAAGGAGTAAAGGTGTCGCCTACATAATGGTTGACCTATAAAAATGGACAGACAATTCATTGATCCGGTTTGACACTTTCCTTTCCTACACAAGTGAATCTTGCCCCTTCTTAATAACTGCAGAACATTGCAGTATGTTGTAGGGTAATACACTTAGTCACATCTCACCTGTTAACCACACTAGCACCATCCTTTGGTGAGACGTAATTGAAAGTTGGAATAGCCCCCTTGGGCACCTGAATCTCGAATGGAATAGCATTTGTTCCCGCTGGCAGAGTCACTCTTTTAGACGTATCCACCGTTGGTACGACACGGAAAGTAGTTGGTTGAGGCTGTGTGGTCTGGGGTTTATTTTTGTCAGTCCATTTCTTTGGGAGTATTGTTTCGTTTAAAGATCCATATCCGCTCAACTACAATACAAAAATAAGTGCAAGACTGCTATTAGAGACCCCAAAAATCCCGTTGGCTTAAAAAGTTACAAAAAACTTTAAAATGTTCAGTAGTCTGACATTGCATTTTTCGTTAAATTCCACAAACAGAAAAACGAATTTCCATTTTTCATTAAATTCCGCGTATATAAAGTAGAGTTTCCCCTAATTGGCATTCGTATTCTGCACAAAGAAAATTCATTTTGATTTAATTTTATTCAATTCTACCATATTAAAACAAACATAATCTTGTTTAATTTAATACCTTTTCATCGATTCCGCCACAATTACATATACTTTTACGCACACTAGCCAATAATTAAATATTTTACCACAAAATATGTAAAGCAATTGGGCGAAGGAAATAGATATCTAGAGGTGCTCTACAAGTCAGTTTTCTTAAAATAAGAATAATACTGAGGTTACCTTAATATAAAACATAAGAATGAACACAAAATC